TCGCGTTGCGGTACCGGTCAACCAAGCACTCTTTGACCGCAACGCGACCACGAACGCTAGCGATTCGCTCGACTCGCAAAATTTGACATCTTCTTTATTGTGTGATTACGTTCATAGTCCATATTCATCCAGAAACTTATTGTGTTTAGGACATTTCAAACGGCCTGAATGGAGTTTCCGTCCAACGGCTCAATTCTATCAACGCTCGTCTACAGTACATTGAGCGTTCGTTTCTGAACCCAATAGCCACCATGGAAGAGCCTTACTATCGTCATTTGGTATTTTCACCATCTATGCAATCGACACGAATTACATCGTTTTCCAGTATTCTTGACCCTGCTATTAGATATCATCAATCTCGTAACGAGACTCACCTGCATCATTTGGCAATGGCCATTACGAAAGTACAGTACGCAGTTGAAAGTGCCATTGATGCACTCCACTAGTATTTCGCTATTACTGGTATGATACATGGACTTTCATTTACAGTGAGCCTTAACAAAGTGAAATTCGCTCATACCGTCTTGCATTTCGAAGATCTTTCAAAAAGTCGCTGCTTATTTTGTTTTATCAATTTATTGATCAACGACAATTACGTGTTCTGATAATCACTTCCATAATATTATATTACAATTTGCAGTGCAATGCGTGCTCATTTAGGCCACAATTTTTTCTCATTGTCTTTGTGTCTCCACATAGTTGGTTACTGAACGTTTTTAGTCTCTCATTCTGAGAAGTATTGTAGCCCTTGCTGTTGTAAATACGTAACATCAGGAGTTTCAATTCTTGGTCCTCAAAGGGCCGCGTTTTTCGGCACGCGCGTTTCACCTTTTGCCTTCGAAGTTTGATCATCCACGGGTGTTCCCCAACAGGCCCACCGCGCGGCGAAGGAAGAGACGCAGACGCGGCAAAGGGACGAGTCGCAGCGCATACTGTAGCGGTTAGGCGTCAGGTTAAGAGTGTACCATACTACGTCTCATATCGCACAGCACGCGCTGCAACTCGTCTCTTTGCCGCATCTGCGTCTCTTCCTTCGCCGCGCGGTGGGCCTGTTGGGGGACACCCATCATCCACCCAGGGTGCTGAAGAGATCGAGACTAACTGTGCGTAGAAGCAATTTTGAAACTACAACAAAATTTGTCTTCCGAATTCCGAGCACATAAATCATGTCGCTTTTTGATGGGCCTGCTTAATTCTGGTTCCTCAGATTCAACAATCACTGAACAACTTTCATCAGCTCTGAGTAGGAGTCAGTCATGGAAAACTTCGAAGCACGTTAGATTATTGCTAGCCGGACTGAAACCAAGGAAACCACTTTTCGCGTTATTACTTTAGTCGTAGACCATAAAATGTCTGTATACTTGAATCTATTAGGAAGAAAAGTCCCATAGCAATGTGATTGGAAAAATTATATCTAGTAGCTGAGCAGTATTCGAGACCCGGATTATTCTATTGTATTCTCGTTTTGCCGATCTCGTTTGCCCATGAATACTATTGTGATAGCTGTCAATAATTGTGAAGATCCCCTAATAAGTGTATAAACAATAATTCGAAATCAATATTGTAATTGTTGTTATTTTTCCTTTTCTCAACATCGTCTACAACCGCGAGAGGCAGCCATGATAGAACTTTGAAAAATATCGTCCCAACGGGGTACCACGGATCCCATGATTCATCTCGCTTACCGAGCCTCACCTTCAATCCTCCTGAAACTTTCCCAAGCGTACTCAAAAAAATCCCAAAATTCCTCGAATTTGGGAGGTTCTCCAAAACTCTTCTGGTTTCTTCTGAAATTTCCATGACACCAAACAAATCGTGCTCCTATCGAATGAATATACATATATAGTCCCTTTGTATATAGTCCCTTTGATACGACTTCCCCCACCAAAAAAGACTATAAGAGGGATATCGGGGACGTTGGCCCTGAAAGCATTTGCAGTCCGTCTACTCAACAGAATATTCACATATGCGTATATAAACTACTCGATGTCTGTAATGCGTCAGGGAAACCAGACTTGGAAACACATGGAGCGCATGAAGTGAATGTTTGGGACTTCTATTTGCACGCAGTTTGCCAGCTGTAGTCCACTGCATGGTATGCCTCCCACCGCCCATCTCTCTCTTTTTCTAAGATTTGGTAATAAGCGAACACAACTGAGAGGGGGAAAACTTCACTATACAACTTGGATATTGCAGCTGTTACAGCAAAATAGATGTGCACCGATCAACACTTTCCAGAATCCGTTCCATAACACTCGGAGGCATTTCTACGATCAACTATAAAATAGCTGGTGAACTATGCATTGAGATTCCCAGCCGCTGCAAGGAAGAGAGCCAGAGAAAAGGATTAAATGCTTCGTTAAAGCAAGATTGATTATTTGGCTGGTTGGGCGGAAGTGGTGTAGTGGCAAGTGGCGCTCACCACGCGAGCGGTCCGGGGATCAAATCCTGGGTCGTGAGTCGCCCGGGCCAACCAAGCCTTCCATCCCTCCGGGGTCGGTTAATTGGTACCAGACTTGTCTGGGAGGATAAAAACACTGACTTGTACATCGGCTGGCCCCCGCAAGTCATTGTATAGGCCAACCATCATCGAATAAAAAGCCACTGCAACGGAAGCAGTGGCCTGTGGCGCTGCCACGTGAGAGATATTTGGTCCTTTGGTGTAAAGCGAGAAGACACAGTGCCAATTCGGTCTCTTGCAATCCAAATTTCGCTCCTGGATCATGTGTTGCGTGGTGGACAGAGTCAAGCTCGGGATGAGGAAACTGATAGATACACTTCCTCCCCCTGTAATAACTCTTTTCTGCGTTGAGACGTGAAGAGATGCGATTACTCCTCAATATACTATGTGCGTGTTGACCACACAGCAAATTACAATGTCTACTAGGGAAACGCGAGAGAATTGAACGCATCTGACCATAACTTTCTTCACAGTGGACGAATTTTCAGCCTGAAAGAAGGTTTGGAATACCCTCCGTACTTTCTAAATTGTGCCGACGTTATAAAAAGAAATAGTGGAAAATGTTGTTTTCTGGTAATTAACATCTAAGTTTCTTGAGAAGCACCATCCATTTTTTAGACTTCGAAAAGGCATAGCTTCCTTCAACTGCAACATTTGAAAAGCTCTGAGAAAACTAGCTCTATTCAGAGATCAATAAATGGACATGTTAAGCATGCCAAGAATGGCTCCATTGAAGATTTCCACCTCTTGATCACCATTCACTTGATCGACCAACGTTCAGTCCCTACTTGGAAGCAGGGTCGGTCCTATCGTTGCTACTTTTCAAAAAGTTTTTACGACCCCCCTCGCTCATGAAATGCTTCATACGACCCCCTCTTTCAAACAATTTTTACCCCAAAAACCCCAAAAAATCACTGTAGAGCGGGGTGGGAGGCGAGCGGTGGGGAGGGGGTTATATACTTACCGTAAAACCACAAAAATTCCCTACAATTTCCATGTATTTACCCATTACCTATTCAACTGCTCCATTTTCTAGGGGGGTATATACGCGCGCTGAAACGGCAAATTTTCTCCCGCGCCGCTCCCCACTCATCACATGCAACTTCTTACAACCGAAGCAAGTACGACCCCCCCTCTACAAACTCATCAAAATACGACCCCCCGTTGCTACTTGTAGCAACATAGGGTTGACCCTGCTTGGAAGGCCATGTAAGTTCACAATTGGTGCGCCAACGTTTTAAGGCCTAATCGAGTTCAGCGAGTCGTCCTCTCCCTTCGACGATTCGAATGCGCTTGATACGTCTTCGATGTTCTGTGAAACAGATCAGAACTCTGGAATTTCGACAAGCCGCTTTTGAACGAGTCCAAAATGAATGTGATGACACCTACCTGAGTGTCGCGATTCATATTTCCCTATGCGACTCGAGGACCGACATTTAAAGGCAGCGATTACGATAAAGAGGGAGCGCATCGGGAAGCATATGCACCACACGAAGCAGTTACTTGGCTGCCAAGGAAGCGAGGTGTGGCGCTTTCACGACGAAAGGTGCGCTGGTTGCTGAGCAGGACTTCGAAAGCACTCCGCCCCGATCCGCCCACTAGTTTAGTTGGTGATTTGGACGAGCTGCGTTGCCAGCAGCGGCACAACTGAAGCAACTCGATTGGAGCATTGCCACCAAACGCGTTGCGGTGAACTCGTTCATACGTCTGCTTTCTGAGCTGTTACCTATTCATGAGCGAACAGCAACGGCTAAAAAACTCCCTCTTGCGCTTCTCTGACGAATTCTTCTGCTTTTTTCGCTACTAACATACAGGGAGGGCAAAAAAAAGACATTTTATGTCGCACTTCGGCCTTTTTTCTTCGCAGGATTGCCGTCGTTGACGGAAGTTCCTCAGCAAAGTATTCCCTAAATGTCCCTCTATAAGTAGACGCAGGCCCTCCTTCACTGCCCTCACCGTCTTCAGAATATGACGTCATCTGTCACCGTCGTCAAGCTCAAGGAGGCCTACCGTAACTGCTTCAGCCTGAAGCTCTTACGCAATTTCGTGAATCGATTTAATGTTGGATAGTTTTCTAGAGGCATTAGCTCCCACTATGCAAATCCCCTCGAAACTAGCTTTCCAGTAAAGGTCGTTATGGTACACGATCCTTCGAAGACCCCATTGAGCTCGACCAGTGCACCATGTTTCCGGGGCAAATTCTTCTGATGCCGTCCACGTAGGTGGCCACTATGAAGATTTTCTTATAGAATGAAATGCGCTCTTCAATACTAAGCGATTCGGTTTGAATTGAGCAAAGTGTGATTAAATCTATCTAAAGTGGAGGCAAAATGTTTTTTTATTGCCCCTCCCCCTATCACTGAGCAACTCCACGTCTCCTTAAACCCCTTATAGAACTTACGTGATCACTGCCTTCAAACTGGTGGAGGGAGGTTCGATGTTTAGTGATTATCATTGCTCCGTTTTGAGCAGAGAATTATTGTTTACAATCAGGATTAAAACTGTTTGGACATTCATTAAGGTTTGCACTTTTTCTAAGCGTCCGTAATTCTGGCTCATTCTTTAGTAACGAACTACAATGAGGAACAAAATCTAGACTACGGAGGTTTTACTTGACCACAAATGAAAGGTTCACTCTGTTAGCCGGTGTTTGGACAACTGTTTTCACAGGCAAATATTGTGTGCGAAGTGAATTCGCCTAGGCACCCGGTTGCCCAGCGTGGATAACACATGTTGGTAATCAAATAACTTGAGAGGCTGAGAGGCTCGCAGCCAGCACAGCAAACACTGTCCCTCACTTTAAAAGGAGCCGCGAATGGTTTCTTGATTCCTCAGTCATCACCGCATCTTCTTCCTCATCTTCGCAGCAACACCGAAATGATTGCTTACCTCACAATCCTTTTCGCAGTTTCCCTCCTCTCCTCAGCGCAACAAGCCGGTACGATTTCATCAAATTATTGAAGTACTATGACACGTCTGAAAAAATGAACCTTTCAGACATACTCTCCCGCGCAGTGGGACCGTGCATTGGCGGAAGATGTCAGGCTGGGCACACCTGCTACTTTGACCAATGCGTTCCACAAGGATCAAGGTTTAGAAGAAGTTTCGACAGAGGTAATTAGTTAAGAACTATTATGACATTTTTATTCTTCATCAAACCCGGTTTTCGCAACACAAAAAAGTCGTTTACTGAAAGCTAGCTGGTCCAGGTGAAAATCGTTGCAAAATGTTGGCTCTGGGTATTAGCAGAATTTCGCTGTTGTGTAGTGTTGCTGCGATAGTATAATAAAAACCGAAGTAAGTTGCTGTAGCTTAATGAGCGCAACTGATAAAATAAAGGATCTTTGAATGTTACTTCGAAATCTCTATATCTTTATAAGTGTTACGACAAACTTCTGGATAGATATAACCAAGAATCCAAACACTCCGAACGAAAGGATAAAAGATAGAGCTCTCGCAACGAGTTCTCTTACGCTTCCCCTTGCACTCTAAAAGTGTTCAGGGAGACAAATGCCTTCAGATGAGTGATGTACAGAGTGGCTGATGGTGAGAGGAGCAAGGCGGTATTCGTTTGGTATCTCGCTACACTTGGAGAGGTCTAGCACTAGGTCAATTATCGTAGAATGGTAGAATGGTATTCTTGTGACCAGAGTGCGCCCCATTGAAGGAAGCTACTAAATTTGGTCGCTGTTCGTTCTACCTGAGTACTCCAAGAGACGTTTATCTTAGGCCAGTCAGCGCAACCCTTTTATGGCGACCCCATTGAAACCTCGGTCACCAACAAAGTCTTTATTTTCAGACACCGCTATCGGACCGTGCATCGGTAACAGGTGCCCACCTGGCTACTTCTGCCATCAAATGGAATGCTTGAGACGATAGCCACGCAGCTCCAAGCTATTTAACGATCTGATCTACCTTAAGGGTCAAATGGAACATATCCTGCCTCTATGAAAATTCTTGATTTCCAATGCCAGTTTTGATAAAAAAAAATAAACATTATGGGTACGCTCTCTGTGTAAATACACGCTAATATATCGATTCTCGTTTCGAAGCATTAACTGCGCCAACAAATTAAAAATTCATATATTGTTGTGGAGGTAGCCATAAACACATTGTCGTTTTCCAGGTCAGTTGCACAACCACTGCGATCAAATTTCGACATTTTTTTTAACGAGTCTGTTTGGCTGGTGCCTATCTTATTATGGCACTTGGAAAGTTCCCCTACCAGGGCCAGCTCGTCTCAAAGTCTTCAAATGTACACGCTCATTGAAATTTAAAACATCCGCTCGGAGCCTTTCAAGCCCCTCAATTTTGTAATCTGGTTCGCGATGGGCTGGGCTTGAGTGTTGAGATTGGGCAGAGGACGGTCACGACTGGGTTTCAGACTGAAGCAAGTGATCCTCATTGGCACGGACTGAACATCGCGAATTTTGCGCGATAATCAGTTCGTGATATTTTGGACTAATCTTGTTAACCCCTGACTGTGATTAGCACAAGATTAAAGAGCTTCATTTAAAGGAATCTTCCACGGAAAGACTGCTTATCCTTTCCTTGTGTACAGGTGTTGGGCATGGTCATTGAAGACCATATGCAAAGTTCAGAGCGAAAATGATGAAACCCCCAAGAGAAACAGCCCTTGGAAAGACCCATCTGTGGGACCGGATTGGACCAGTAGGCGGGACCGGAAGTGCTTCTGTGACGAAGTGCGTGGCAGGTGCGGATCCACGTGTCAGTTTATGGGAAGGGCCCAACATGAATCCAGTTCACGTTCACGCTTTTGACACGTTTGCACGTGTTGACTCCACGCCGCTAACAGTTGTGGAAGTTTTACAGCGGGAATTCAAAATTTTCATAGTCGAACTGGTTATCATAATTATTATCAAAACCATCGCCTATGTTCCGTTCTTTTTGCTATCTTCATGAAGCAAGGGGCCTAAGGTATCGTTTTTTGTAGGAATGGAGGCGATGTTTTTCCGTGGAAGATTCCTTTAAAGTTCACATGTTTCATACAATAAAAATTTGTTTGTGAACATCGCAGCTTTCATCATCACGGGACCAGCAAGCAAGCGAGGGTATACCATGAGTCGATTAGGAAGAGGAGACGGGGGGAGGGGAATACCATGAGCCAAGTTTCTATATAGTGTTCTTGCATTCACTCGTCAGGCATGGGTTAGAGCTAGTGCGCAGTGGAACAATTTCATCTAATGGAAGCCACAACTTGGCGATGTTCGAAAAAGTTGCAAGCACCACGATGTGCTGTATACGTAAGCACTGATGGTTTTAGTTGAGCCCTCGAAGGAATCCTTCACGGAAAATTCATGATTCCATTTCAGCCATAAACCACTTGCTTGAGACTCATTCACCTGTATCACCTGTCGTCCCGTTGATCATCGAATTGCTCGAGCGGGCGCCAGCAACGTCTCCATTCGTCCCTGTCGCGTGCAAGAGTTGTCCAGTGGACCCTCCTCGCTCGAGGGACACGATGTCCTTCATTCCTTTCGTTCAGAGCTTTCGTGAAGAAGTCTGACCATCGGGCCGGCGGTCGTCCAGGTGTTCGTTTGACGTCCCGAGGGATCCAGTCGGTAACCGCTCTGGTCCAACGGTCATCGCAAAATCGCATGACGTGTCCGGCCCACCTTATCTTCGATTCCTTGGCGAAAACGGCAGCGTCCCTGATCTTCGATCGTTGGCGTAGTTCGAACTCCGGATTCCCCTCTGCACTTGCGTGTATAGGGTTACTCCTAGCATCGTCCTCTCGACAGCGCGTTGGATAACGCTGACCGCATGCTCGTCCTGCCTGCGCAGAGTCCAAGTCTCTGAGGCGTAGGTTAGGGCAGGAAGGACAGCGGAATCGAAGAGGTGGGCACGGAGCCGGATGTTCTTCGTCTTCTTCACTACTCCCTCGATGTTCTTAACGCTCCCCAAGCCGCTCGTTTCCTCCTGCTCAGCTCTGGAGCTAGATCGTTCATCATATTGATTTCCCGACCTAGGTACACGTAGCTGGAGCATTCGGTGATGTTCGTTCCGTTGAGCGTGAATGGGGCATCAGGAACCAATCCGTTTCTCATAAACATCGTCTTCGTTAGGTTCAGCTGTAGACCAACCTTACCACAGGCGCAGTCGAAATCAGCCAGCATTCGCTCCGCTTGCTCGATGTTCGGCGTTATAAGAACGATGTCGTCAGCAAAACGAAGGTGGTGTAGTTGCCGGCCGTCGACCTTCACTCCCATGTCTTCCCATTCCAGTTGACGCATGACGTTCTCGAGAGCGGCGCTGAAGAGTTTGGGCGAGATGGTGTCGCCCTGTCGAACCCCTCTCTTGACGTCGATGATGACCTCCTTGTAGAATGGTGAGATTCTGGTCGTAAAGTTGCTGTAGAGCTCACGAAGAATCTTGATGTACTGAGTAGGGACGCCCTGGTTGCCCAAGGCTTCGATGACCGCTTCTGTCTCCACAGAGTCGAAGGCCTTCTTCAAGTCGATGAACGTGAGACAAAGCGGCATCTTGTACTCTCGTGAAACTTCAATGAGTCTTGTAACCGTGTGGATATGGTCGATCGTGCTGAACCCTCTTCGGAACCCTGCTTGCTCGCATGGCTGTCCTTCATCTAGTATTCTGCCGATCCTGTTAAGGATGACTCGAGTGAATAGCTTGTAGATTACAGACAGCAGGCAGATTGGGCGATAGTTGCCAATGTCGTCCAAGTCTCCCTTCTTGTACAGCAACACGGTCCTGCTGGTTTTCCACGGAGTGGGTACCTTGCATTCCGACAGGTAGCGCGTGAAGAGTCGAGCCAGAGTTTTGATGATAACTGGCGGCGCATTCTTCAGATGTTCCGGTTTGACCCTGTCGAGACCGGGTGCTGTACGATTCTTCACCGACTTGATGGCGTGTCGGACTTCGGAAGAGAGAACTGAGGGGACGACGTATCCATCCTGTTGCAGTTGATAAGTGGGCAGATGGACATGGCTATCGAAGAGATCCGAGTAGAAGTCGTGGATGACTTTCTCCATTGCCCTTCGGGATGCAGTAACTGTTCCATCCGGACGTCGGAGGCAGGTCATCTTGGTCTTGTAGCTGGCAAAGCTTCGGCGGGCATTGCGGATGCTCCTCCCAGCCTCTGCTGCTTCAGCTAATACTGCTGCTCTTCGCTCCTTGAGATCTTCCTTTATCGCCTCTCTGCATAGCTTCGCAAGCTCGGACGTGAGTTGGTGATTGCCTGCAGCTCGTGCGGCTCCACGTTGGCGTATCAGCTCGAGAGTTTCCGTAGACAGACGTCCTTTGGTGACTTGCAAACTCTCTGCCTTCCTGCCACTCTCGTGAAGGTGTTCAACGAGCCGATGATATTCCTCGTCGATGTTTTCGATAACGGAATCCTCCCATAAGCTGACAAGGGAAGCGAAGTGATCCCAGTTGATGACTGTCCTGGGGCTTCGCTTCCTGAACTTTGCTGCTCTCTCAACACGCATCGAAAGTGGAATCTTGCGCGGAGGAGACGATGGTCCGATCCCGTGTAGAACTTCGGAACAACAGCGACGTCGGTCAGGCAAAACCTTCGATTGAAGATGATGTGGTCTATCTCGTTATGGAACTGTCCATCAGGTGACTCCCAAGTCCAACGAAGGTGAGAGGGCTTCTTGGAACTGTGAGTTACCATGGATGGTGTTGGTCGACATGATAAACTCAGACAGTCTTTCGCCCTGCTCATTCCAATCCATTCCGTGAGTACCGATGTGAAGTTCTTCAGCCGTTCTTCTTGGGCCAATCTTGGCGTTGAAGTCGCCGACGATGACCTTGAAGAAGGTATGATCTTCCTTGTAGAACTTCTCCAATTCCATATAAAATGCTTCGTGTTCCTCCTCGTCGTAGCTGATGTTGGTGCGTAGGCGACGAAGATTGTCAAAGCAGGAGTTGAACCACATCTTCTCAATCTCAAACGTCCGATTCGGGTCGTAAGGCTTTCGTACGAATCGATGTTTATGGCCAAGTGCGTGTTGACGAGGACACCCACACCGCCAACGCCTCTGCTGTCGCATGTTCCAAGGAACAGTTCTTCTCCAGTATCGAAAACGGCGTGTAGCGGGCGGTGCCTTCTCGTCTCGGTCAGTCCGATGACGTCGTACTTGATCTTCCTGGCCTGCATCATCAGATCTTCGATGTGAGCTTCGGATGCAAGCGTTCGTGCGTTGAAAGTACAGATCGCCATCTTAGTCCTTCTTCGTTTAGGCAGCCTATCCGGGCCCTGAGATTCTAGCAGCCTCTCCCGAGCGGTCCTACCCAACGCTGCCGTATTGGGGGCTCCCTCAGGTTCAGGGGAATGAGGCCCATCCATATTGCTGTTTTCGGCATATTGAAGGCACACGAGTAGCTTGCCAGGCTCTGTCGTGTGGGCTAGGATAGACCTCCAGGTAGTTAGCCACGCTATCCTGGAGCGGAACAAGGGGCTTATTTTTTGGAGGCGGCCCCGAATCGCCTCCCATGTACTTCCCAGTCACTTGAATGCAAGCTTTTGGCTGTGCCGACATGCAGGATACCAACCGCACACACACAGAGCGCACCACACACGCAAGCATGCATGGATACACCTGTATGGAGACAGCTGGTATGAATCGACACAGCACTACAGAAACAGGGAGTCCATCCCCTGAATCCACCTGCGTCTCAGGGCAAGTACATGGTGGCTTTTGGTCCGCGATTTACCCCCTATCCGCCACCTGGGGTCGCGCCACGTAGCCTCGCCACCAACCGGCTCGAGATCTTTCAGTGAGAGAGGACCCTCAGTGAAAGAGATCCGTGGACTGAGACTCATTAGTCACGATAAAGAATGAAAAGAAAAGAAATATTGCTTTTGTTTTGGTAAAAAAAAAAACGAAAAGGGCTGCTACGCGTTCAAAGTGCCCACGGACGTCTTTCACAAATGCTGGCGACGGGGATGCTTCCACTTGGTTCTTGGAGTGCCTTCACTAGAAACTCTTTCTGGCCTTCTGCTTTATTGCATTCACATCTTACACTTCTACTCCATCCTATTCTATCGATCGATTTGTCTCTACTCTCCGAAATCGCGCGCTTTAACCCGATTCTTTCATTGCGTCGCCTGATACGTAGCCGGCCAAAGCCACTTCTTTCCATGCCTCGCCTTTGGCTCCGCCCGAATTACCTTCGATGTCCATAGAGTGTAGTTTTTGTACGTTTGTTTCTCTTCGGAAACCGAATCTTCATGCGTGAAACTTTGTGTGCTGTTTCCAGTGATCACAACTGACACATTCATGTTAGAAAGAATGCAAGAATTTTCCGCGAAGGATTCCTTTAATGATGTAATTGAACAAATGGGAAGCGAAACCTTCTTTGGCAAAGGCACAAAGGCAACCCTCTTGGAGCCCGTTATCGCTTCTGCGCTGCAAGTCCCACTGGTGCCTCCGTATTTTGCTTGAATGGGCTACCCACTTCCCTAATCGAGAAACTCCTTGTTAAGCCAACTGAAACTTAGACTTTCATGCACGTTGGCATATGTTCACACGTGTCCTCCGAGCGACCTCAACTCGAGTGCATTCCATGTTCTGAATTTGTTAAAATTGCTCCATGGCTCACATGGCAGGCTCACTGTGTTCTGGGAAGCTGACGGTCCACTGCAATGGTACTTTCGCTCGGATTGTCTTCAAGAAACTTTTGAATGCGTGCAATAACTGCGGTCATTGGGTGTCCAGAACATGATTTCTCTTAGAGGTCATGGTCGCCAAGGCGAAACTTCCAGAGCATCCTCTCTTTAACGTGTCAATTCCTTCAGCATCACAAGTATTCCGATACTCCTCCCTCAATTGGTGCCACAGGCGGGACTAGTAAAGTTCACAAAGACGAAAATGAGTTGAAGTGGACGCATTATTTCTCCCTAGAGACGAGTTCTGATGTTCGAAATTTGTAATATGAAAGCATACCAAGAGCTATCACATAATCCTTGGCTGGGAACAACGAAACCATTTTTTGGAGAGAATTGCGAAATCGGCTCTTACACAAGACTCGACCAAATGCAATGAAGTCTGAATCGTACTGACTTCCATCACTTCTTTATTTCTTCGAATTGCAGTAGCAGAAGAACTGTTCTTGCTTTGGTCCCCTCGAAATAGTACTACTTGTGTCCTTGTCAATCAAGAGGCAGAGTGGAAGCAATATCGTTGAGGAGAGTAGAGTACTTGAACGAGTATTGCTTTCTATTAGGATCATCGCATTAGCATTTGAGGTCAACGGCTGCTGTTCTCCCAGCTGCTTCTCATTTCGTTCATATTTGTTCACAGGAAATATCATCCTTGCGCAGCAATAATTCCTTGTGAGATTTGGAAAGGTAAACTAGACAAGTGAAAGCGGAATGCCATACCATGAAAGCGAGAGGGACCGGGTTTGCAGTGTCTCGACTGAAGTCTCAAAAAATCGAAGGCACAACCCAGAATGAGTTCAGATGGATCAGTCTCTTCGAAGAAAGAGAATCTGCACCGCGTATGTCCCGTTCTCCCAGCTTTTATGTGCAGGGCATCCAGCCCTTGCAAATATGGCGTCGACCGCTTCCATTAGTTTCTCGTCATGCATTATCAGCACGCTGCGTTGGGCGCTCTCTCATCTTTGTGTTCTCTCGCCTATCATCTCTAGACCATGCGCAGTCTCTCACAGTTTATGCACAAAATTGAGCAAGCGTTCAACTTCACCATTTTTATTCTTTTTTACCAGGCTCACTTCGCACCGATGCTTTAATTGCCGTGCGCAAGCACCCCATCAGTTTGATCCTGTGGCGTGCCTTAGAAGTCGGGGTATATGACCAAAAGGCAGTCCAGGGTAAAGGTAGAGGGGCCAATGAAACAGAAACATGACGAACGGCTCAGAACCCTAGAAAGGGGACCTTTTTGTTGCTCGTTGATTTCCGTATCAATGCGATTATCATCGGTGCTGCCCTCTTCAACGCTTACGCTCTTTTTAGAGACGGGTGCGACAAGTGGTTGGTCAGTCAATGGGCGTTCCGCATCGACAGCGCCGCGGGGTCCGCATATCCTTATATCTGGGTCCGCATATCCTTCGCTGTGGATTGCGTGTCGCTCCTCACCTTTATGGGGTCCTCATGACTTTCCACCAGACAACTATTCCCTTCTTCGACCTCAAGACACAAAAACTCTCACGGCTTGTGCGGTTTCGAAAGCAGCCACTCACAAATTATCGTTCCCTTATCAACACGAGGACACGCGAAATAGATAGCTTGACTGGCTGAAGCTGATGATCGAATTATCAACTTAGTCGATTGCGTCTACATGCCACCGTCACGTTTTCACTTTCGCTAACTGCATCGATATTATGCACCAAAAACAAGCCGGATGGAGGCGGCTCAAAAGCGAAACGCGCTGATTATCATTTGATTCCTCTTCAAGATTGGATCCTCCCAAATCTGATGAACTGCCCATGCCACCAAGATCACGCACGTAAATGAAAGGCTATGCGTAACGCACAATAGATTCGTCGACTTATCAGGGTAAAAGATTCATTGTAAGAATTCAGAAATGTGCAATGATGAATGTTGTGAGATATTTAGAATTCGTAATATTTATTCGCACAATAACTGGCAACAAAACGCTTTGACTAAGTAAACTCGGATGGTTTAAAGGTAACTCTCGGAAAAAAATAGATCTCCAGATTTTCTGAACACGGACGTCATTAGACTCAGATTCAGATAAGTCTATCCCTTCCGATCGAAACCTGATTGCTTTCGGAACGAGCCTGAAAACGATACGATCATGACCGAATAAAGCAACGAAGTGTGTCAAGCAGTTATTTGCATCAGTCTCTCTTGAGCTTTTCGGAAACTATAGCTTGCTAAGATTTATGACACTGGAAGTCAGGAACATAAATACAGGTGGCTTGTTTCCAAATCCAAAAGGTATTTTGCAAAAGGTATGATATACCGTAGCCGTCAAAAGGGCCCGCCGAAACAAATTTTTGTGCATCAATTTTTCTCACTCAAACAAATCTTTTAAATTATTAATATTCTATGCCTTTTAATGTTTTCAAATCCTTGAGTGTTGTGGACTCGAGATACAAGAGAGAAAAAAAATCAAGTAATCTTCTAATGTTTTCGAGGGGTAAGAGGATACGCAAAAAATCGCTTCGGCGACACTTTTGACCGCAACTGTACGTAGTCACAATCGTAATAACTTCGTAATGGTCTCAAAAAGCTGTGTATGCTTCCGCTGTCAGACCTGTCGCCGTTAAGTGTCTACCCATCCGCACGGAGTATCATTATGAGCTGAGGTTTACTGCAAAATAAACTGCATCAGATCACAATACCGGTGCAATTAACATGAGGTCGCGTACAAGCCCATTGGAAAGAATAGATTATCGATTCGTTTTGTCGGTCTGTTTTCTCTTTTTGTGATTTTTATTTTGATTTGCATCTTCCATAGCTGTTTGTATGAATTTTTGGTATGAAGAAAAACAGCATAATGTAAGACATGACCTTATCATACAACTGTCGACAAAGTTTATTGTTTATTGTCGTATTGTTTAGTACGTCAAAGTAACATGCCGTCAAACACTTTAAGATAGTGTGTAAAAGTCTAAGTTCGAAAACAAAGTTATGAATATTGATTGAAAAGGGAGAGGCAGATGAGCGCAGTCCAGGGGTTCTAAGGTTCCCCTCCTCCACGACAAGAACAAGAAGCGAAAAAGTTGCGTTTGTTTCGACAAACAATCCGAAAAACCAAGTAAGCTATTACTCTAGATTCCCGAAACTGTACATCAAATTCGGAAGTAAGATTCAGCTTTCCTACAAGGTGTAGCTCAGTGCGTGGCCGCCCCTCCATGGTTTTTATTCCATGCGTCCCCTGGCTCCGCCCGCTTGTCTGTAGAACGTCCACAAAACGTGGTTTTCGGAGAGTTCTTTCTATAAGGGAGCTGAATTCACGTTCGAGGCGCTTGTACGCTGCATTTAATGGAGGATTTTAATGAAGGCAGTTCAGCCACCGCATACCCTAGTACGGTGCCGCAGGAATCATTGGAATATGAGGGACCCAAAAAGCACACAGAACAACTAACAGCTCAAAAGCTATCAGCCAAGATATTTTTGGCGTGAACTTTTTTCCTGGGTTGGACCTAATCACTGCGTAAACAAGACAAACAGCGGTAAGTCCGAATCGTCTTCAATTCTCCGTCGCTATGAGTTTCCAATTCGCGTTCCAAAAAGGCGAGAAAAGGAAGCAGCGGATCTATTTAAAGAGTCATTGGCCTCCAGCTGGCCAGGACGTATCACGCGATAAAGCAAGAATTGAAAGACAGCGGATGTCACGGATGGAATCCCATGGGATGTGAACCGAACACCAGGAGCGAGATCGTCAGCACATGCGAAGTCTCTCCTTAGTGCCGGGAAAACGCCAGAGAATTACCCCACTGTTTTCCCACGGTCGTTAATTTTCTGTTTCTGCGATTTCGTTCATGAATAAGCTGCTTTCGACTATTTTAAGGATACTCTTCAAAGTTTGGAGGCCCCGGCATGACCCGAAAGAGGAGAAACGAGAGCGCCACCCTGTTGCGTGATGGGGCAAACAGGTCCGTGATTGTACTGTCACCCATCTGGGCGAAAGGTGCCACGAGTTCATGTAATCACAAACTTGTCCTTCTCATCGACAAACACTGCCACGTCCTAGCAAAAGCGCCAAATTAACACTCGTAAAGTACAGTAAAATAAGTTACTTTGAAGCCGTGACGTATTCTTTATCATTTTCCAGGAGGTACATTTGGACATACACTAACGAACTTTCGACGATGAGAGAAGTGTTAGGAATTAGAAAGAGTAGGGCTTAGAAGTCCCACTGACTTTTCACATCCGTTCTGTCATTGGTCCAAATGTCACGCTGACAAGGGAGGCATTCGCGTAAGATCAAGAGGTCGAGAGGGAAATTATCAAGTCGATACGACATGCCAGCCCTCTAAAGGTAGGGGACGATGCGAGCTTCACAGCGAAAGGTATGCCCAGCGGCTTAGCAGGGCCGTACCTCGCCGCTCGCCGCGGTGTGCCATTCTCCTAGAGCCGTCTGTTATCTAGGCCTTTGAGCAGACAGAGAGAGCATAACGTTGAAGAGCAGGTCGTCGCCGCTCATCCCCGCCTCCACGATGAACAATTGGCATCAAATCAATCGCGAAATTATCAGCAAAAAGGGGGGTGTTGTGCCTAATTTTTTCAGGCTTACCGGGCCATTTTTTGCATGGTTTATCTATCCCTCATTCACTGGTCACCTCTGAATCAAATTCGCTAACTGCCTGATTTAGTACATCGTAGAGCTCCAGGCTTCAAGTCACGCGGTGACGTGAAGTTGAAACTTAATGCAATTGAGTAGCTGGTGGTGTGGCGGATAGTTGGAACGCTAAGCAGTAATGAGTGTATCACGTCGGGACTAGTGACGTTTCACAGTAAGTCATTAGGTTGAACGGTTGTGACATCGCGATACTACTTGGTAACAGAAGGGCCATGCTACGTCAGATTGACTCATTGAGCAGTGCTGTAAGCTCCACAACTCATCGAAAACGCCAGGTCAACCGTACATAAAATTCGCAAGGGTTGCTATCTTAGCAGGGGCGCTTACACTTTGGGGATCAGGTGCCCACTACTCACTACAGAATGAATATTAGACGAAGAAAATCTCTCACCTCACGCTCCCATTTTTTCCTCTCGTCAGTGAACACTTGCATTTGAGCTGTGAGCGCCTCTTTGAGCGTTGCGACTTCGTCGCGTAAACTGGCAACCTCACCACGCAAAGACCCATCAGAGAGAATCCTGGAAAGGTAGAGGAATTTCTCACTGCCTCTTCTACGGATTTCAATGAAACTTTTGCTGCAGCCACACAAAGTACTAACACCAAACTGTGTTGCTAGAGGCGGAGATCAGATCTCTGTTGGAAAAAGTTCAACGGGGTGGAGCTGACGAATCGCACTTTCACCTGACGTGCGAGTCAAGGGCTCACAGAAATTTCCTTGACGCAATGGCTGACGCTGGGGAGAACACTGAAGGGAAGGGTCAAATCTTATCGCTTTCGATAGTCCTCTATAGATAAGCACGGGCCACATTTGCGACTGAAGCATCGAAAAAGCGTTAGGGCTAAGAAGTTGCTAACCGCACAAGCATACTGTTTCGCAATCCATGTCTCACGTCCCGACGTGCTATCCCGTCCCCATCTAACACGCTCTCCTTCCATCCCTTCTCTACCTAGCAGGTGATGGGAATTATTATCTAGTGTTTGTGGTTGTCTTTTTTTTAAAATAGTTTGATTGCTGCTTTCTCTGCTCATAACTCCTCCGTGCACTCCTACTCTCTCCTTTCCTCTCTCTTTACGGCTTCATCGCGGGCACGACTTGATACACGCTCCCGAAGATACTGACTGTGTGGTGTGTGCCCGAAAAGAGAATTGTCCTGCCTAACGAAGACGTTCTGATTTCCTCTTCTCAATCTATGTTCCAAGGTTATAGCAAATTTGTTATTGGGCATTTGTCGATTATATTGTGGATGGTTTCCCGGCCAGACTTCAAATCTTGGATTAATTTATTACATACGACATGATCTACGCTCTAACTTTTCGATTCTCTTCCTTGCTGGATTCGTTGTATGTCGAAAGTCAGTGAGGTATGCAATGTGATTGCTAAATCTCTTAACTTACTTCTCATGTACTTCTTTTCTCGAAATTACCACCCTTAGATTATCCCGAAAAAGGATTTGCCCTGTCTCTTATTCTCGAAAGGCCCCGACGATAAGCCATTCGGCGCAATTTCAACTTAACTTTTTCCTCTGGACCGAACCATTGTATTACTATCGAGTGTGGTATCCTTCTTGTGAGGACTTTTTCGCTCGCTTTCGCTCTATAGTGTATGATCTCTCTCACTCGCGTCTCTTCGTCTCTTTCATGGAATTATCTCGAATTTTATCCGCGTGTGCTCGACTTTCTACGGGACGCTCCTATCTCCTCTTTCCCTGTGTCAAGTAGCGTCTTGTAATCCGAAAAGTGACCGCTATTGATTGAAAGAAATCGATCCCTTGAGGAGGATGAGATAATTGTATTATAACATATTTTCCTGTATCGTGTGATGACTTTTCGAAGGTTACTATGTTTTTCAAGCCCCTAAAAAAAAATTCGACTCTCGACTCTCAGGTGACGGTGTTGCTGATTGAATAAAGGTTCTGAAAATGGAAATGACGCGACTTGTTGGGAAACCTAATAGTTTGTAATGTTTAGAAGAGGAGGTCATGCATAAGTAGAGGGTACAGTATTGATTGATTTCTCTCAAGGGAAGATAAAGTTAGAGATAGTTGTCGGTTTGGTCAATTTTTGTCGGCTGGACCTCCCATTTCGCAGGCCTGAAACTTGAAAACCTTGACACAGAGGTAGAAGAAGAACATCACATCTTGTAGAGCAGACAATTCTCTTTCGAATCCGGATATATGAATTTGAAGTAGATTGAGTTTTAGATTGGCAACTTTTTCTAGCTTTGAAAAGAGCGACCACTATTGGATAGAGACAACCTAACGACTTTACCCGTTTGTCTTCGGACCTTTTGTATTTTGAAACGATGGATAAGATTCCAGAGCGCTTTATCACAAGTTACTTTCCTTTCAATTCTATAATGGGTGACTCCTTCAGGCTTTAATATTTTGAATCCTTACTGCCGTTCCTTTATCAATGGCTTATTGTCTCACCCTTAACAATTGGTTATTAGCCCTCAGCTGTAAAAACGCTTAGCTTCGGACTGTCAAGCGCTGCCTGCTCGGGAATAGGTTGGTGGACGTATGGTGACGCACTCCTGCATAAGATGATATTGATCCTGCCTCTGGTTCAAATCAAGCTCCTACCAGAACCCGACCAGCGCAGCGATAAAGAGTCCCAGATATCAAAAATTAATATTTCGCGCTGTTGATCTGCGCAGCGTGTATCCCGCACAGTTACACGTGAGACAGTGATACCCTAATTTCGTGATGCGTATTTTTTTCAGGATAGCACACGGGGCACAGCAGTTGATTATCGGTCAAAGAATTTCCTGCAACGCACGTTCGGAGTATTTTGCGTTCGGGTCTGATCACTTTAGTTCTCTCAGCGCCATTCACCACTCCGCCCTGCGCGATCGAGTCGTCTGCATTTCCCGCGCGTACATTCACTCTCGGCACTACTCTCGTGCAGTACAGAGCAGCGGTCAAGCGATTCCTCGATGTTAAAGGAATCTTCCGCGGAAAAAGCTCCGCCTCCATTACCACAGAAAAACGATACCTTAGGCCCCTAGCCTCATGAGCATAGCAAAAAGAACGGAACATAAGCGTTAGTTTCGATAATACTAATCCTACACACAAGACAAAATGATCACTCTTTCCGTGGAAGATTCCTTTAAGGTATCTGTGGTAATGAGGCGGAGCTTTTTCCGTGGAAGATTCCTTCAATAGCGCTCTCTCTACTTCACTCTCGCTCAAAGATTTTTCGTTCGCAACTTTTTTTTCACCAATTACTTATACTTACTTGAGTTCGCCTGGACAGCGGTCCAGAATGACGTTGCCGACATTCGTCACATTCCCGTGGTTTCTCCATTTCCATTTTCATTTGCGCTAGTTCACGTTCAAGTTGGAAGCACTAAAGTTCAACCAATACTTTTCATATTTCTCAACCACCAAGTGGTGCCACCCACGCTCTTGCACATCTCATATTAAGAAGATCAAATTCTGACCTTTCTGAGTAAGCCTGTCTTCTCGTCGCGTAATCCATCGATGGTCCTGCTCATGGTGTCCGTCTGCTTTTGGCAGCCTGCCAATTGTGCTCGAAGAGCGTTTTCACCTTTTTCGGATGCACTGAGACGTGAACGCAAATGTTCCAATTCTTCTTTCCATGCACGTTCCTTTTCTTGATACACCTGAGGAATACCAAAATTTTAGTGTTACTTAAAACACCAGGACTTTTTCATTCGAGACCGGAAACTCACTTTTACTATGATTTCTTCATTTTGCTCCATTGTATTTCTCACCACTCTGAGCTCATTTTCCTTGTCACGAATGAGGGTCTGCAAGAGGTAATCATTTTATGCCTATACTAGAAAACCTCCAATAAATCAAATACTCAATTGAGTAATTAAAAAGTAAGCTGTAATTGTGTACGTACAGATCTATTTACCTCGTAGTCAACGATGCCGGAATCACTGGGTGATGGAGTGACATGAAGAGCGGAAACTCGGCCAGATGTGGGATAATTCGTTTTCTGAAATAAAATTGATTCTATGAACTAGCCGTGGTAGAATCTCTGAGTGATTAATTCGAGTATTCCTTCTGACATTGCTTTTTGTCTGTTTCCTCGCAAGGTTGTCCAACATTACGGAGATAATCGCCGAAAGTGGAAATCGCCAAACGAAATCCCGATAAAATCACCAAAGGGAGCAGTCGGCAAGTAAATGAAACACTAATGACCTTGTTGGTGCTAGGAGGGCTCGACAGCTGACTTCCCGAGCTGTGAGTGCCGCTGGATCCTGTCGATGATGTCATCTTGGTCGGTTGATGGACATGATGATAGGAACCGTAATCAGAAACAGAAGAACCGACTGAAACAGAAAAAAAACTGTAAGGAGTGGATCAGAGTATCATGCAGCTTCAGCAAAAATTAAAAGCAGGTAGGAATAAGGAAATAATCATGAGAGACCGATAGTGGCTTACGATTTTTAATGGTATATACGCATGCACTGCAGATCATTAATGAATAGGCTTCAGATATCTAGGACCGAGTCTCTAGCAATGAATTACTTGTGAGAGGCGTTCTTATTTGACAGAGAATGCGCGAGAACGAAAACGTGTCTAACATCTATTCACATGACTCCCACACATAAGAACCTAATACAAATAGAACTAAATTAACTTTAGCCAAATACCAGCAAACTACCCTATTTACATTCCTACATCGAAGACATGACAAGCACTCAAATATTAGCATCACTGGAACGGGTGAGCCAACTTCTGATAACCACACTTTGCGGTATATCTTTCAAGTAGCAAAATGCTTCTGAGCGGTATGAGAAGATCAGAATGAATACGATTTCCATTTGAATTCTGTTTGGCGTAACTTGATAACTTGTATCACTAGCCTCATTAAATCTTCCACAGATTTTTCAAAGCAATCGGACAGTATAGCAGGGAAAAAAGCTACATTGACACCGGCTCTAGTCACAGGCAACATAGAAAATTCCTCTCACACTAACAACGCGCCGAATCGTAGGTATTTAGATCGATCGAGCTGAACCGCGTCTGGTGTGCGCTATGATTACAACAAACACTAGATCCACTAACTTAAATGAACAGATCTTCTATCTACCTATTGAGGAACATGAAATCGAAGACTAACTAGAACGCCGATTTTTTTCATCTCACTTTGTATCAGATTGCGCATAAGAAAATGAATATCAAGTAACATAATATAAATCTTTTCCTAAACGCGATGGGGAAAAGAAGCATAAATCTGCCAAGTCTACGGCATGTCTTTTCAGATAGCCTTCACAAAGACGTGTCAAGTTTAACTGGAAAAAATGTCAGCACGGGCTCCAATTAATGAGAGAAAACTGTCCTCCTGATGCCGCTGGAAGCGCCACAAGGTTGGTAGTCCCATCAGAGCGTAATTTGACTCAAAACTGATTGCTGATTTAGGACAGCATTCTGAGGGAATATGGTCTCAACATCCAACTCGACGAGGTACATTAACTTCATTGTTTAGAGATCCAATCGCGGCACCATTGGATCTTCACTTCGTATGAAAACTCGAGCCACAACGATCGGTATGAACATCGGGTTAAACACCCTTTAGAAAATCTTCCTTTTGACACGAGGAGAACTACACAAGCCCCGAGCTTATTCAAACGAGCTACAGCAAATACCCCCGACACAACAAAAACCCCCGTACAAAAGCCTCGCGCGCAATGCTAATGAAAACAAGAACCTCAGAACTATTGCCGCGTTTCCTAACACTCGATTACGAAACAGAATGAAGAGGATATAATATACATCATCTTTCTCTGGAATGTCTTTCAACCACAAGCGAGTGTCTTAATTATATCCCACAATTAATCAACTAGGTGTGGCGACCATATCACGAAACATCGCTTTCGAGAACTCGTGGCACCACCTGGTAATAACAAACACATTCTATACCGCATGTTTCACAGCGTTCACCGTGCAACTTCGCTTGCGGTTCCATGAAGTCACAAGATTCCGTCTCCATTAGCATGATATACCAGATTAAGCGACAACTCACTCAATTAATGCCTCTTCCACGGCATACGCGTAATAGGTACTAATCTTCTACACGTAGAGCCAAATTAGTACGGAGCATATAGGCAATGAATGATCCCCTCCAATCCACTCGTTTGAGCGAGCCTTTAGGCAACACAATAGCTATGCCTCCCTGGCGACTGGTCTAGAAATGTTATCTATTGAGAGAGTACCTCGTAGTAACCGGCCCTTCTGCAGGTAGAGTTTTGCTCTCGAGCGAGTTTGATATCAGAGCTGATTTTTCACATGCACACGAGTCACGATCAGTTGATGAACTTCAGGAACCAAATGTGCTCTCTGCCGCACATGCCCGACACCAATTTCCGCTTAGCACAGCTGCGGACACACATCGGGGAAAACGGGATCCTTTTGTACAAGTCTGGTGTTCATCAATTGAAGCAATCGAAATGAGAAATTAATATATTTGAACTCGTACAGGAGAGAACGAGCCACGGCAAAGGATAAACTAAATTACGGGCGATCTCAAAGAAAAAAACAATGAATTCTTGAGAATGTCTAAACGAAAATGCAATCATAGATCAAACTTGGAAATGGGCTTCACTGTTCATATCTGCACGCATTTTATTCACACAAAGGCATATAATGGAGACTTACTTACGAAATATACCCATGGTGACATTACATGAAACCTTCACTACAACTTTCCTCCTGGTTGAGTACCTGGACGAACACTTACTACATAAAGAAGTGCCTGATAGTGTGCCAAGCTTTCTCAGAGACGGTCTTTTGCATGACATAGAGGCACATGCGGGGAATTTTTTATGCAGAGAAAAAGGAAAAATGAACCATGCTTCTGTGGACCCCATATGTGCCCCAATGTCATGCAAGAAACCATTTTGAAAAAGCTTGGCACACCCTGAACGACCTCCCCCCTTGTTAGTGTTAGTGCCACTTCCTAACTTGTGAGAGAGTTTACAAGCGTTTCCGTTTTTCACTCTCATTACATACATATATGTATGTGTAAATATTAATGGTGAATCGAGAATCGGAAAGATGGCTGAATTAAAGGCTTTCTATTTCGGTGAAATACTTCCTTACACGACTGATTTTCCAATACCTTAAAGATATAAACTATGATATCGCTTTGCCAAAGAACCCTTTCAAGATGCGCCATGCATTTGACTTCGGTTCAAGATCTTATGTTTTGAGAATGACACTTTGCTTTTACACTTGACTGAGCGGTTAGTCGATGAACTTGAGTGTTTTCTACTTCAAGCGGGGCCGGCACCGCTGCAGGTGGCCTTGATGGCCTATATGAGATTCGATTTTGGATTTAATTCGTGGATCATTTGCATGGTAGTGGCGTTAGTTGGCAATGTTCGATATCATCCAATCCAAGAGAACCAATAAATGAAGAACCAGATAAAAGATAACAAAAATACTTACCTCGTACTTGGTTGAAACATGACCCGACTTTTCTGCAACTGTGTGCTAATTAATTGACTCATATTCGTTGTTGATTTGGTCGAGTCCCTGAAAGTGTAAGAGTATCTCGAGGCTATTAGGGAATGATCGAAAGAGTGTAGGAGTGTAGACGAAATTCAACACCGTCTAAGTGGTTTCTCCTTATACTGCCTAAGTACCACCAAACAGTGGACTCCCATCAAATGGGATACGTCGTCTAGAATTTCGTTCTTCGGAATTCAAGAGGGCTATAATTGGTTTTGGAAGAGCACCTAATGTTGTTATTGCAAAAGTCAGATAAAAAAGTACATTTGGAATAAATGAAGTGTTGGATGAGGCCGGGCCGTTTGACCAGCGCATAAATGGGTCATCACCTCATTAAGTAAGGACTTTTTTTGATCATCAAGCCATTTTTCTGGGCACCATGTTATGCATTTTAGGGCAACACAGAGAGAGGCTAACTTAGGGTGAGAAAAGAATGAAGATGGATGCGACGTGCTGAATGAGAGGATGGGAATGGTTCTGAAGGTGATGACAAGATGATGATAAGCTGTCATATAGAAATAACCTATATCCTAATAAAAGATCCATTAATTGATCATTCTCTGAGCCACACAACTGTACAATAGAGTCAAAAGAACTACTGAGGAGCAAAAATGGATGAATAAAGGCAACCAACTACTGTGGGCTATTTGTCGAGCGGGATTAGCCGAAAAAATGTCCGGGCAGCGAAGTTTTAAGGTTGCTTTGAAATGAACGAATTGGTCCGACACAAAAATATTGAGGGAATGCACCGGAAAGTAAGTCATCATTCGTGAGTGAAAAGTAGATCGGTGAGAATTTGGGTACTGCAGCAGTTGCATATATAGAAATAGAAACGATTAACTCATATCAATCAGGGCTTCAATTAGCAGGACAAGAGTGACCTCGTCGTGAAGGAACGATTGATCAAAATTTTGTACCGTGCAGAGGTGACCCAAGTGAACACTAAGCCGCTTATCATTCGACGTGTTGTACGGGTCCACAAAGGAGCCTTAGGTTTGTTGAGTCTTTTCATTAGTGGAATCTAATACTCTCAAATAAAAGTCTGTGACAGGTGAAACTTATTAGACAGATCAAGCATGGTTACTGGTAATAGTCAACCATCCTAGGAGGACAGACTCGACAAATATGGAATCCTGCCTATTGTTCTATGTACCCTGTATTCGAGATGAAGGTCGCAGCAAGAGCGTTACTGACAGGTAAACCAGCACTACGCTCGGAGGAGGAGAACTGGAGTTGATAGCAATGGAAAGAGTGATGAAAGATGTGTTTAGATAAACGTCGTCGCAGGGCGTTTGTAGATCAGGACTCTCGCCCGTCTGTCCGATGTTCTCTCGCGCAAGTGATGTGTGCGTTGGACTTGCGTACTTGCTGCGCGCAACATCTGCCCTGTCTCTTGTTTCATCGAAATACTCAGGTATGCTACTCTGACTGTTGACTCACGCCTCCATGGTATCTAATAGACCCTAATATGTGCGGCGTAACACTATGTGAGGAAATACAAACTATGATCTATACGAGCACAGCTTATATTAATGTAAGATGTTGCTGCAGAGATTCTTGATACCTTTCTGAATATCTAATGTGCTCGTTTTGATTCATGTGCGCAAGTCGAGTGATTTATTGAGCGCGGCGTTAACCGCGATAACCGCCATACAAAGTGATCACTAGTATCAAAGGACTACACATACCGCCCTGGTGTTTTACGGAGCAGTTCTCTGTGATCAGTCTCGCAGAATGTTGGTCGGTCGCTGCTTAACATTGCCAGTTATAGGTGAGCGCGCACTCAGTACTGCAGAGCGTCGTGCTCTTGTGGATGCTATTATGCACGCGATAGCTAGTTTTAGGGAGGTTGAGAGTTTTGACAGGCACGATTTTCAGTGTGAATATACTGTATTATGTGTTTTCACAGAAAATGTGCCGGATGTTTCCGAATTTATTTTGATCCGATTAGATTTTGACGACGTCCTATGTTCTATAGCCGCCTGATATCGTGGGCTAATCTATTTGCCTATTGCCTCGAATATCTACTATGGTGGTATGACGGTATAAAAAAGATGGTGCTTAAGTGCGGTGGAACGAGGATGTTGCCGCTGCGTGGACATACGACACGTACGAAGACGTCACATAGATCTGGTATGTCAGACGTGAGTTTTTTTTCGCTTCGAAAAGGGTTCCAATCGATTCGACAGCTTCGAGACTACGATTAGAGAGCGTTTAATCTACGCAACAGAAGCAATCTCGAGATTCTTTCGATGTATATCGCTCACTTCACGAAGAAGTGCTTTGTCAGAACGCAATGTATGGAAGGGGGTTGCTTCTATTCATGAGGGACATATAAGAAATATTACTCAAAACTCAACACAGCGGACCCTTCTGCGACGAAAGTTGCCATGATAGTTGCTGGTTTGACGCAGGAGAATAGTTTTGCACATTGTGTGTCGACCATCAAAACAATGTATGCCGTCAAAATGGTGCTCGCGGTTACGCACGACATGATCGCACTCGCATCTGGATATAAAGAAGGTTGAAGCACTTTCGCAACTAAAAGAAGACTGGGAGCGGAATTTTAAATTCAAACCGATAACAACTTTGATAGCGCAAAGATAGACCACGGCGCTGTTTAGTACGACTGAATGACCTGAGTGAGGGTTTTCT